AAACGTATAAGACACAAAACAAAAATTAACATAAAAATTGAGTTTTGAGAAAAGTTGCTACACGTAACAATCGGATCAAGTTTACTAGGAAAACACGTCCACAAAGAACAAAAAAAAAGAAGATATAAACAGCATTGTAAAACCAATTGCTTTTTGGTTACCCTCGGAATTTAAAATTATATTCAATGGATAAAATAATGGTATTTTTCGGTTATTGTACTAACTCCCGTCGGCTGGTAATAATAGTACGAATCTACCAATAAGTACCAAAATCTGCCCCTTCCTGTAAACAACAATAAACCATTGCTTACGAAAAAACTATTCTGAGAAGAGTTCAGTTGATAGTGATGCTTTGTCAAAAATATATATGTCATTTTATAGTAAAATAATTAAATAGGCTTTATATATTTTCTTTAATAATATTTTGTACCGATTTTCCCGGTTTCACTAAGTTTTTCCAAGTCTCTCATGATTTATCTCGGTTTTTCATATTTGCTGGGAAACTCTTGGGAAAATTGAAAAATGACCTCTCTAAAGTACCTCGCTAGTGAAATTTCCTTTTAGAAACATTGCTATCATTAAATGTTGGAGCGAGATTGCTGGTAGAAAAGTTGTACAGTTGCGAGGGACACACATAACATCATGACAAATTTTGTCATTCATAACCACAGATATAAATATATATATACAAGTATATATATCTGTGTGCATAAAATGTTATAACATCACTAATACTGGTTTTGGTTGAACGATGGTCATTCGTACATATTGATTATACAATTTTGTATTAATTCTCAATTTAATAAAAAGATCACGACCCCAACTTCAAGGGTTCCGCAAGGTGGACATCTTTCCCCCTAGCTCTTCTCGATTTTCAATAATGGTGTGAAAAGAATCTTACCCAATTGCAACCTCCTCTGCTTTGCTGATGAGCTAAAAGTATACCGCATTATAACATCCATTTCCGACTGCGAATCAATGCAAGGTAACCTTGATAGGCTAGTTACGTGGTTTACCTCCATCGGGTTACATCTTAATGTTACTAAATGCCAGTCTATATCATATTTTAGAACTAGCTTTTCATTCACCTACAACTATACATCAAATGGCTTTATTTTATCATGTGTTCTTAGTAAAAAGGACCTAGGTGTATAATCCTAACATCGTATTTCAATTATTATGCACATATTCTGTCAATTAGTTGCAAAGCTTTAAACATTTAAGGATTTCTTAAGCGGTTATCTTCTGAGTTTAGATTTTCTTCTTCTCACAAGACTGTACTGCACTATTGCCCGTCTCATACTCAAGTATGGTTCCGTTTCGATCAATATACTGCTACCGACTCATCTACTTTAAAGAGAGTTCAAAGACACTTTCTATCTTTTGCTGGGTTTGCTTTGAATATTCTGATGTGAATCTACGTTTCTTGGTTAAGCTTATAAATGGCTCATTTGATACTTCTTCCCTCCTCTCCTGTATTATTTTTCGCGTTCCTCAGCGCTCCACTCGCTCCTACGTCCCCTAAAAGTACCCAAATGTACTACGAATTATTGTAGTAATCATCCTCTTGACTGTTTAATGCGTTTAGCCAATATTCTCTCTAACCATCACTCTGCCTAATTCAATCACTGTTACCTAAATAAAATTAATTTTAAAATATTTTATCATTTGTATCCTTTTTTTTCTCTCTTGTATTCTGTTCTTTGAGTACCGCCCTTATTAATAATAATAAATAAATAAATAAATAAATAAATAAATAAATAAATAAATAAATAAATAAATATCAAATTTTGACGAAAATTGTTTGAGTAAAAAATTACGTGAAACAAATCTAATTTTTACATTTTTTTTCCGAACATATGTATATTGCCTGTTTAAGAACTATGGTGAAATCAGAATTGAGCAGACTAACTAAGTTTTGAAATTACAGCTTTTTGAATTTCTGATATTATATGTTATGTTAAACAACTATATACTGTCTTATTTAAAGTACGTTTGTCGTGATCTAATGGTTATACATATCTCTTATCATCCTAGGGATCTCGACTTTAAATCCGCGTTTTGAAAAAAATTGTTTGCATTTTTTTTCCCTTTTACCTAAACAAGGAAAAATAAATGCATTTTGGGTGTACCTAGAGAAGTAGAGACCCAGTCATCGCTCATACGGACTATTTTAATCGCAAAATACCCCTCGATTTGTTGTGCAAACTTTTCTATCAGAAATTTAGCTCCGATTTTCAATGATAGCATTTTTTCTAAAAGGAAATCTGACTGAGAAGGTACTTCAAGAAAGTAATTTTTTGAATTTCACTAGGAGGTGTCGCCAATAAATAGGAAAAACTGGGAAAAAACACGGGAAAATCATAGGAAAAACGAGAAAATTGCTATAATATTAAACAAATATTATTAAAGAAAATATATAATGCCTATGAAATTATTTCACAATAATATGGCATAAATAAGTATATTGTTGACAAAGCAACACTATCAAATGAATTCCACTCAGAATCGTTTTTCCGTTAGCAATGGTTTATCGTTATTTACAGATGTACATCAAATTACCCCTCCACTACCTTCCTAACTTCTCACCTAAAATTGTGACTGCACCCACGTGTTAAGTTGCTCGGCAAATTATTTTATTGTATTTAATACTTATGTTGTTTTTTAAGTAATTAAAGTAATTTTTGTTATAGATTATTATTAAAAATTATGTCAACAATTTAATTTAAATTTTTTTGAGAGGGTGGGGTAGGAATATTTTTCTTACATAACCCTGTTTAAAATTAAAAAAGAATATTATAATTAAGTGGTGGTACAGGCCCTAATTTTAAATTTCCGTTTTTAGCATATTTTTAGTACATAAAGTATTTAAGCATTTCTTCACACTCAAAAACGATAATTTGTTTTTACAAAACACTTGAATAAGTTTAAGGAAGATAATTCTTGTTTAAGTAAAAATTAAAAATTATTACCTTAAAAGACTGTCCTACTCAGTGGACTGAGAGGCAGAGTTCAATAAATGTATTTTATGATTTTCAACTTGTTATTATATTGAAGAAATAATATTATAACATCAAATACTGTATCGTCATCAAAGAGGCCCAATTAATTTCAGTTATTCAAATATTAGATTCAATGTAAATCTTATTGTCATTTATGAAGTATTTCAATGTACAAAAATTCTTTACACGGTTAGCCCCCTTTTTATTTGATTACTACTTGAATTTTATTTCATAATTACAGTCATAAAATATACATATTTTTGTTAGTAAAAATTAAAATCAAAGTTATAGTTTTTATGTATATACTATATTGTATAATAATTATAATAAACACCCCGCTTTCAAAATTCCTAGTTACGCCACTAAACATTCGTATAAGTTTTATTAAGAGCAATAATTGATATTCGGAGTTATATATAACTCAACATATATGTTTGTTATAGTATATAGATCTTAGCAGTTATAGCAACCCCATCCATTCTACTTCAGTTGTTCAGTACCAACCCCCTCTTAATGCTGTGCCAGAAATCGATACGCAGCGCGTACACACACCGAGTATCGTTATCGCAGAGGCGCAGATGCGCAGTGCTTCGAAATCTGTAATGGACATTAGTCGCGTAGTCATCGTGCCGGTTTGAGCGTTCGTCTGATCCAGTCATCATTTTGCACAGGTAATTTTATGATTAATTATTTAAATTACCTTTCACCTCGTAAATGTTGCTTCATTACATTAGGTAACTGGTCAGTTGGTTTTGTATATAATATTATAACAATAATAATCAATTAGCGAATGCGATTACAGCTGCTGAATTGTATCCATAATTATAAGCAGATACTTTCTCTCTGAAATATAAAAAAGTATTAAAAATCACGAATTTTATGAAAATTAAAGGCTGAAACGTCAAATTTTTCAGAAAAATAAACTTAATAAAATGGCCATCTTCAAATATATTGAAAATAAAAAAAGTTTTTTTTTTAGTTATTTCGGTGACCACCAGGTGGCCGGTAGCCAGTGAATTGCGTTTTTGTTTTCGTTATCACCTATGGTTGATATCACTCTTCAATTAAATGAAACCACTTTGGTAATCAGTATGCTCTTTGATTACACTCGAATACATGGTATGTCCCATCGGGAGGCTATAAAACAGCTGAATTGACCGAAACTCTACTAATTATAAACTTTTATATTTTTTATTATTGTTTTAATCAAAAAATGTTGAATTAGAAAACTTGGAAGTTTGAACGCCAATATCTTGAACAAAATTTGAAAAATTAAAAGAACGTGCAAATTTTGATTTATTTCCGACACATTTTTGAACAAACAAAAGATACAAAAATACATTATTTAATTAAGTAGTTTTAAATTATTATTATTTTTAATTTCAACCATTTGTAAGCATTTAAATTATTCAAGTGTGGATAAACATCTATATGTTGGATTTATTATCAAAACTAAATCAATATAGTTTCCATAAATGAAAATATAATAAAATTATAAAAAAATCTATTATATTATATGATATTTTCCAATTAACTTCATCGATTAAAAATTCAAAAACCATAGAAGTCACTTGGGGATAAAATACTATTGGCCTAAATATTTGTCTGCTTAAATATAGGTTAAGTTGAATACGATTAGTTCTTACGCCATGCACTTCTTATTAGACTATTATCAATAATAATTGATTTTTTGGATCGAAACAATTTAATTGTACAGTTAAAAACACATAATATATTTTTGAACGCTAATATTATGAGGGACGTCCACAAAGCAAGGTTACATGTGTTAAAAATTGAAAAATGAATGTATTTAAATGAAATTTACATGATAAGTGTCAAAACATGTCACTATTTCTCTACATAATTGCCATTGAGGTCAATACATTTTTTAAGCCTAGGGACCAGTTTTTGTATACCCTCGTCCTATACTTTCCGCTCCACTTTCCAAAGCTACTATTTGACAGCATCCTGGACCTCCTCGTCATTTGAAAATCGTTGTCAACCCAAAAACTCCTTCAATTTATTGAAATGATGATAATCCGATGGTGCCAGGTCCGGGGAATAGGGTGGGTGAGTCACAATACCCCACCCAAATGAAACAAGCAGGTCCTGAATGAAACGGGCGGTTTGAGGTCTAGCGTTGTCATGAAGGAGTGACACACCACGAGTCAGCATTCCTCTTCTTTTGTCTGTGTTTGATTTTTTTTTCAACTTCTTGAGTGTCTCACAGTATTCAGCTGCATTTATGGTGGTTCCTTTAGGCATAAAATCGTTCAATAATATTCCTTTCCAGCCTCAAAAGACAGATGTTATGATCTTCCTCTCTTAAAATTGGATTTTGAATTTTTTGGTTGATGGTGAATGGGTATGGTGCCACTATAGAGACTGCCTTTTTGACTCAGGAGTATAGTGACACAACCACGTTTTATCACCAGTTACAATTGAGTCAAGAAAAGTTTCACCCATAACACTAGCGAACATATTGGCATAACTCCCACGCACTAGATTCTGGCACCTATTTCATTTTATAACGCATTACAGTTTTTGCCATTACTTGAACTACTTATGTATATTTAGTCCATGCTAGTACTTAAGAAGTAGTGACTGCAAAATTATTTAATATGAATTTTTGGTGCATTTAAATTTTATCAATAAAGTAAACTTATTATTTTAAAAATTTAAAAATGTTAACTTCTCAATATTTGTCATACATTATTATGTTTTTAATTTTAATTATATGTATATTAATTGAATATGGATTTTAATTTTAGGCTAATATAAAAATGAAATTAGTAGATTCTCAAGTACAATCGAAAATAGATGGCTTTTTTATTTTACTTTAAGTTTATATAAAAATATAAAATTATAAAAAAAACAAAAATGTTTTATGGAAACAACATGTTAATAGAATCAAAATGACCTGAATCAATGTGATCACATTAAACGGTACTCACTGTATATTATATTTCTAATTAGTATGTATTTGAATATTTTACTAAAAGGGTTTTACTTCAATTACCTGTTGTATCTACCTTTTTGACGAAATACAAAGAACAAATTCTCAATGATGTCTGATTTGACTTGTTTTGTTAGTGTTAAAGGAACTCAATTTATTTTTGTTCTTCAAACAACATAATCATTGCATTAATAGTCGATTCCATTCCATCAAAGCATACAGTTTTAGTAACTTTTGGATTTTGGGATATTTTTAATGTTTCAAACCATCTCTAGGCTTTTTCTAATAATTTTAATTGTTGTGGGTATTTATCAGATAATGCACATTTTGATGGTTTTGAACTAAATAGTGAACTACTGTTAGGTAAGCTAATAGATTATTTGTTTGATCATTTCAACAGTTTGAGGTACAATTTTAGATTTCAATTAACCAGGGTAGCTGTACATCAGAGTGAGTATTAATTTTAGACAGCATACTTTCAAAATCTGCATTAATAGAAAAAGTGACTCAAGTGAAAAATGTTTTTTCAAATTGAACTATGGGAAATATATGGTTCTTTTAACATTATTACTTTAGCAGATCTATTATTTCTACAATATTCTTCATTGGGTTTTAGGTTTCTCTCACTATAACAACGAAGCAAACACATATCACAGTAATATAGTTTACTCTAATTTTTTGTTACTTGTGAGTTTAGCAATCTCGATACATTTTGTATCCAACAATAATGATCAGTTATTTCATCTTTTTTAGTTTTAAAATAAAATAAGTTATTATGTTTTCCCTTTTTAAATGTACATGTTTTTAGAGGTACTATACATTTATGTTCATAAGTATACACGTTAATAGACATATTTTTTTTTTTTCAAACTTTTTAATATCAGTGAATTTAACAGGGAATTCAATTATTTTCAGCTCTTTTTTCAAATCATTCATCTATTTTGTTCCATTGGATGTAGTACAATAAAGAAAACGTTTTTCTCATTTTGAATATTAATAATGAATTTTTTGTTTTTGTCTTAACTGGTAGATCAATGAATGAGCCTCCTCTAAGAGTAGGCTCATTCATAAATTCATTTCTAGAATTTACTTTAATTTCTATCCAGATCCCTTAGCTATAAATACATCTTCTAAGAATTTTTTCCTCTACATCATCATAAAATTAACAATATCAGTAGAATTGTAATAGGATTGTAATGGTTCCATATTTAATTCTAAAAAATGACATTATTTTTTCTTTTTTTTTTATACCATTTATATATTCACATCTTACTACAATTTTCACTATTAAATTATCAAATTTATTTAAATATTGTAAAATTGTTCCATAAACTATTTTATATTGAAATTTAAAAATTGAATAATATCAATTGTTGTGTACATTTTTTTTAAAAAATATGTTATCATCCTATTTTTAAAAGCTTTCTCTTTTTTTAAAATAACATTTCTTTCTTTTTTTTTCACAAACTCTTCACTATCTAACTTAGCAAATACCTTGTGTGGAGGTATTTTTTTTTCATAATATTTAATTACTCTGGTTAGACTTTTCTTGATAATATCTTAAGAAATTTTACAGAAAATTCGGTGAGATTTCACTGTTCTTTATTTTTGAGGTTTTGGTATTCTATTTGCAATTCTCTATATAGTTTTTTTATGAAATCTAAGTCCGATAGTTACATTTTGATCATTTCTTTGATGTATTGTTGATCTTAAATGTTTAGATCAATTTTTATATGTAGTTGTTATGTTATATAAGTTATACAACCTTTTTAAAGTTACTGCAAGATTATTATTTTTTTCCATTTTAATATACGTTATATATATTTTAATTTTAATATTTCATTTCAATTATTTTTTTCTCTTTCATCGAAATTTCTGCAATCCTTATTATAGAATCCTCCTTCAATAGTTTTATTATTTAAATCCTTAATTTTATAAATAATTAGATTTGTATTCAATATTTCTGTAAAAATAAATATTTCTTGAGTCCAATTAGAGTTAAATTTGTTATCAAACGTTTTCCTCAACTTCTTTATCATCTTCTTCTTCCTCAACTTCTTCTTTCTAACTCTATTACCAACCTTAAATTTAATTTTAGATATTTCGTTAGGAATAATTTAATTAAAGCCTTTTCTTTATTAGACTTTATAGATTTATAAATCTTAGCATCATCTACTAATAATAATATTTTTGAATATTCAATAGAAAAAAACTATATCATTTATAAATAAGTTAAATAATAGTGGTGATAAATGATCCTCTTGAGGGAAATACGAAGTTAATTTAATTGCCTTACAAATATGGATTTTAAATATAACATGCTGCTTTCTTTGGGTGAGAAAAGAATGGAACCAAGATATTATTGAGTTAACAAAATCAATCTTCTTGAGTTTCAAAATTAGTAAATCATTTTGTCAGATCCAACTACAGTAAAATTAAAAGATTAAAGATAAACGATAAAAAGATTCATGAATTGGATAGGAATCAAGTGTGTTTGTTGAAGTATTATTTTTCTTCTAATATACAAAAGATAAATATAGATTAAATAAATCAACTATACTTTAAGCATTGTGAGCTAAATTACCATTGAAAGATAAAGAGTTAGGGAAATTTAAGAAAGATCTAATATTTTTTATAAAATACCAAAATCTATTAGGATTGGATTTGAAGGAGTATTGAGTGAAATTTAAGTAGTTAGAAAAATCTATTTTACTTTGAATTTTGCATTATGTATGAAGTGATGAGAATTTAAGATACTCATGATGATCATTAGATTTTTTTTAGAGTGCATGTGCAATATTTTTGTTTTTAATAAACATTTTATTTTGTTTGAGAACAAATTGGAAAATTTGTTACTGGTTATTTTTCTTTTTGGAATTTATAAATTAATGGTAAAGAACAGAAGAGAATACAAATTTTAAATACAAAATCTTTTTGATGAAATTATTTCTTAAATTTTTAAATAGATGTGGAACATTTACCTTGGTGCCAATAAACTAAAGTTGTAACTATTAATACGCATTTGAATAATTAATAATTTGAATTGTTTGACTGCTTCTACAAGTAATTCACTCAAAGTAGCATAATTTACGGATGTAATAGGTAAAAAATATGATATAGGCATTTTCAATGATGAATATAGCATTCTAATAACAAAAACCATCAATTGCCCTGCTATATTGTTTGTTCACCCCAGATCTTCATAGACCTAAACTAAATCAAGGTATTTAAAATATTCTAAAAAATGTTTCGTTTTTAATTTATCAAATACTAAAGTACAATATTCCTCTTGTTCTGTCATAGAATATGCTTTAATTTTTAGTTGTTTGAATAGAGTTTTATTAAATATAGGAAGACACTTGGAACTTCCTATTCATGGATTGATAGTAGTAAATCCAGGTAGTGTAATTGTTTTAGCATTCCTTAAAAAAATTTGTATGCTGATGGTGATTTATAAAAAAAGACTCAATACAAATTGTTGTTTTGAGACCATAATTTTATTGATAAACAATTACTTGATATTTGCATTCCAACCAGTGTTTTTGAATCATAAGAAGGAAATCTTAATAAACTCATACAATTAAAAGATTTATTTTTTTATGTTCAAGAGATCAATTTTTATTAATTTAGATAATATTATTCTTTATGATACTAAGAATCTATTGAATTGCAACAATTTTTTACCTTATATATATATATATTCTTAGAATTAGTATTGAGATTGAATGGAGGAAATAGTTATTTTTGTTTTATTGATATTGGAAAATCAACTACTTTGTTTATAAAAGTTCTAGTTGTTGGTGTAACATCAGGAGTGTTTGCATTATATGATGCACCAATTGCAGTACGTATTAAAATATAAATTGTTTCTATGTGTAATAATTGATGGAAGCAGTTTATTTTTTTTGTTGGTTACAACACATGGACTAAATTCGCAAATTTGGTTTTTTTTTGTAAGTTTGTGATGAAAGAGTAACGTATAAAAAGCTGTCTTCTTCAGTAAACCTTAGGAATACCGAATATTATTTTAATCTTTGTTTAGCATAATTTGTGAAATCATATTTGGGAAAAGAGTAAAGTTTAGGTTTTTACTTATTTAGTTTTAGGTATTACGCCCACTTTCAACCAAAAAAAATAAACACATATTTACTTCTATAAGGATGTGAAATTCTGAATATATACAATTAATTCAATATCAAATTACAGTAAAAAAATATCAAACACAAATGAAGTAAAATCTGTTAGAATAAATGATAATCAACTGGTGTGTTATATATAAAAAGCAGAAGGTCATATATATATAGGAACT